GATGAGGAGGCCAGGAATTTGGGAGGGAAAGGGGCATGGGAGACATTGAGGAAGGAAAATGAATGGAGGGAAATGACATTATTCTATTTTAATAAAAACGTTAGTAAAAAAAAAAATGTCCCCAGTCCCCCAGAAAGTTCAAATGAAGTTAATTTAAATGATTTTATTCCAGCGAACCTAAAGTGTTAGCACTTTAACATTTAATCAGCTCATAACTCGTTGATATTTTAACCCCCCTTTTCCATCGAGTGTCTGAAATCCAGTGCTCTTTACATTGGAATGGATTTCACCGGGGACTAATGTCTCTCCCAGGTTATTCACATCGTTCATTGCTCCTGTGCCCCATTAGGGGGCGAAAACTGTCACCGGGAAGCCTACATGGGGAGGGGTCTCAGAAGGACAAAGGCCCCTTTGCTGGTGTGGCCAGTCCTGAGCATTGTGATCTTATTGCTTCAAGATGCTCTTGGCCTTTGGGACGCTGACTCATGGCCTAGCTGCCATGATTTCCTTGGAGACTTAATTTTAGCCAGGTTTCCTGGAACTGTTCCAACTTTCCTCTGCGCCTCATTTCTTCCCTCCCAAGTCCTTGCATGTCACTGCACTATAATTCAGAGCTTCGTTGGGCTGGGATCCAATGGACCCAACCCAAACAGGAAACAGGATTTCTCATTGTTTATTTGAGACCACGAACCAGAAAATGTTGGACGCTTGTTTCCAGTGCCTCATTGAGCTCGGAACGAAACGAAACGCAGTAATTTCCAAAGGTTTCCTGATGTGGAATGATCTAGATGCTTCGACCATTAGACCAAGATAGAGGGCCTGCGAGGTGGCTCAGCGGCTGAGAGCTCTTGATGGCAGTCCTGAGGAGCTGAGTGGAACCCTCATGGTACAGAGAGGACAGACCCTCACATGCTCTGAGGTGTTCTCCGCACACATAAATAAATGAATGTTGTTTCTTAAAGATAATTATTTTGAACATGAGTGAGCTCCCTGCTTTCCTTGTCTGAGCACTACCAAACCTCATCCTTTGCTGACAGTTAGTTAGTAAGAGGATGCAGAACCTTTTTATGAGGCTGGGGCATCCCAGTGTACTCTGGAAACATTTCAGCAAGTATTCCACAGTTGATCTTTGTATAGAAGGTTTGTTGTAGGCCTCTGCCTCAAGCTCTTCTATAAGCCCTGAAATTGACTGTCTTGCCAGTCACCACATCACCACGTCCAGCATGGGGGCATAGGTATCACATGATGTATGGTGGTTAGTACATTATGCCATGCAACAAACATGTTGTCTGCCCAACAGTTTTTTGTCTTGCTTTCTCATTCATTGCTTTGAAAGCTGACAATACCATGCACAGGCTTTCCCAAACTCTTGCAGCCAGGAGCAGGCAAAAGACATTCTAAATACACATAAGATAAAGCATTTGGGTGAGGGGAAGGGTATGAATCTCGTCCTTTTGTTGGGAATCTCCTCATGTGGAAACTCACCCACCTCACTGATGCATTTGGAAAGGTAGACTCTTCATGACTAATCTCGTACACGCTCCACCTCTCCATCCTGTTGTGTTGGGGGATTAACTTCCTAACATATACAGTTTGGATAAGACACTTAAGCCACAGAAACGGGTGGCATGCTAATCGATATCTGTAGCTTATAAAGTTTTATAGTGTCTGGGACCTCACAGCGCCTCAGCTTTTCTCTCTCAGATGAAAGGGACATTGCATGACAGCCGCAGAAAAATGTTTTGCTACAAGTAGATGGAGACTTTGTTGCAACAGAGGGCGTTTTGACAGGGGCATCCGGCAGTGGCTCCTTTAACGTTCTGTGTGGGATTTTATCAAAGTCGCCATTGAGGAGGCTGAGGAGGGAGAGGAGTTCTTGCAGGAGCAGAGGCGGGACCGACTGGAACATCCCTCCATGGCACACATTCTGAGGAGAGGGTTTCTCAGAGCACTGACTCCATGGTTGATACTGACGGGGGTACCCTGGGCCTAGGGCCTCCAGGGCCTCACAGAGTTACTTAGGAGAATGTCTCAAACGTGTGTCACTGTCCTCAGTCACTCTCCTGCCTGAGGTGGGAGGACAGTGAGTGGTTGGGGAGATGGGTTGGGGCTGCCGAGCTGTAATTGAGCAGTTTGATCAACTTCTGGTCTGATTCTGATACGTGAGTTTTTAAGGTCAAGCAGCAGGCTCTGGCAGGCTCAGCAAGCTAAGATGCCCATTTGTCCCCATTATGCCAACCAAAGAGGCAAGTAAGATGCAAGGACATCTATTTAAAGTGCTCACACAGGGAAGGGGAATAAAGAGGTCTGATGGCCTCCAAGTCCACCTTAGAGGCACTGGCATGAGGTTGAGGTTTAACTAGAAGGTAGGAAGAACAGACGACTAAGCAATCTTGTGGTTCTACCCATCCTTGTCTGGGCATCAGGCTGCCCTACATTGCTAGAACTGGGACATTTCTTCCCAGGGAAGCAAGTTCCTCTTCTGTCTGGCACTACAATTTACCTTTTCCCTTCTGGGGCGAGGGAATTTTAACCCTTTGGAGCCCATAGTCTGTTAGCCAAAGGGGGGGGGGCACACGTATCTCTTAAAATATTTTCTTTGTCAAGCCAGAAATGTAAGTGACACATACTTATGTATGTGAATGTTCATATCTATATAATAATAGCATTACTAACTGTAAAGACACATGAGACTGGATTGAGCTGTGAATATAATTTATTCATATGTTTACACAGGAATCTGGTACACAGACTATAGCAAAAGAAGGTACAAAGGAACCCTAAGAGTTTTCACTTAACTTTAGGATAATACTTAGTAACAGAAATACCTTAAAGACAATATTATATAGATAAAAATAATATAGAAGGCTTTGAGCTTGTTCCCATTCTGAGGTCTGAGATGGTGCTGGCTTAGGTGGGTTTCATCTCTGTCTCAGAGATGGTCTCAGCTGCATGGTGGACACCTCGGTCCACTCTGCCTGGATGCATGCAGCTTCTGCATTTCTGGGGTGGGGGTGGGGGTGGGGGTGGGGGCAGGGTCTTTGCATGCACTTTCTCTTCTTGCTGTTCCCAACCCTTATTTCACAAACTCCAGACGGGAGAATTTCTGTTGAAGCGCTGGAAATTCGGATTGCCTATGAGATGACTCAGGAGTGAATGACAGTTGCAAATCCATGTTGTCAGGTCCCCATGAGTGGCCTGACATAGTTGCATCAAACATTCAGCACACTGTGTATTGTCTTCTCAGCACTTGCTATTTTTTTGGTTTTGCTCTTTGTTTTGGTTGTCCTAGAACTCACTCTGTAGACCAGGCTGGCCTTGAACTCAGAGATACACCTGCCTCTGCTTCCCGAGTTCTGGGATTAAAATCAGCAGCACCACCACCACCCAGCAAGCACTGACTATTGAAAGAGGAAGGAAGTGTTTCCTTTTTGGTTGGTTGTTTTTTGAGACAGGGCCCACACTGCCCTTAAACTTGTGATGTTCCTGCCTCAGTTACCTGAGTGCTAGGATTTCAGGCGTGAACAACACACTCAACAGAAAGAAAAAAAATCTTTAGGATTTAAAAATGCCAATTTCCCAGCCTCCGAATAATAAATTTCAATGGGCAGGTGGCAGGCAGCAAGTAGAACTCTCTACTGCCTTCTTCTTCAGCATGATTGGTTGTAGACTTTTTACAGAAACTGAAACTTTTAAATTAAAAAAAAATTACAAAGAAAACCTGGAAAATTTTCTCCTTTCAGGTGGTTCCAATACCATTGGTTTTCCAAACAGAACATTAGCATGCAGAAAATGTCTGTTTAAAATAAAAAAAGTTAGGGGCTGGAGAGATGGATCAGTGGTTAAGAGCACTGGCTGCTCTTCCAGAGGATCCAGGTTCAATTCCCAGCACTCACATGGCAGCTCACACCTGTCTGTAACTCCAGTTCCAGGGGACCTGACACCCTCACGCAGACATACATGAAGGCAAAACACCGACTGATGCACATAAAATAAAGATAAATTGTATAAAAATACAGAACTCTTGAAAAGACTATGTGAATGCAACTTAACTGCCAGTGTCTAGAAGATGTCCTCAAATTCATTAAAAATGTAGCTTTAAAAGGTTCTTGAAGTTAACGAAGTTGCCATATATATGAAGCACAAAAAAAAAAAAAAAAAACAAAAACAAAAACAAAAAAACCCAACAACTAACATATAGTCCCAGTGCTTAGGGAATGGAAACAGGGATGCTGAGTTCTAGGCTAGCCTGAGCTACATAGTCAAACACCCCCCAAAACTAAAAAATAATACAATAATTAAAGTAAAGAAGCTACACTAAGTATTCCATACATATATATTTATTTAATGTCTAGGAACTGGCTATATCAGTGGGAAAAAACAAACTTTTTTTTTTCCATAAGAATAAATAAACTCTACCTGAACTTTTCAAATTCCAAGAGCGGCAATACAACACTATTTTGACCAACGAAGTCTTCCCCACAGCCCTGTCAGCTTGAAAATCCCTAGCCATTCTCATGAAGAATGCCTCTCTCACACAGCGGTGCAGGAGCCACCCCACTGCGGGGCGGTCAACCTGCCCACTGTAATGGCAGTCACGGTCGCTATGAGTAACCTGTGTTAATTCTGAAAGCAAACTGTTTATCTGTGGACTCTGGGTTGCCTTGCTTCTGTGCCTGGGAATTCCATAAGGCTTAGATGGTTACAGAACTTAATTTTTAATACTGACATCAAAGGTAGCTTTAAATAATAATGATTCTGCTTCCAGTCTTCTTTGTCTTAGAACACTTTGACTTTATAAATACATTACAATCTTAACACTGCCCTCACCACACACACACACACACACACACACACACACACACACACACACACACACACACAGAAGGGCTTAAATTCCATTTTGGAGACCATGACCTGGACATGGTTCTCACGAGCTTGGCGGTGCACAGTCAAAAAAGAAGAACACGAAACAAGCAGAAGGATGGGTCGCCGATAGTCTGAAAGTTGTTCCCCACGACGAAAAGAAGTTGCTACGAATCTGGAAAATCTGGAAGCCAACTGGAGCTGCACTCAGAAATGACTGATGACCGTAGCTATTGTGCAGGGTTGCTTTCACAGGGGGCTTTCAACCATCCTTTTCTTGTTTTGTAGGTAGAAGATGCGGTTCTCTTCGGAGTAGGTGACTTTGCTGAGGGGTATCCTGCAGATGTTGGGGTTTTTCGTGGTCATCAGCAGGAACAGGAGTGTGGCCAAACAGAAGGCCCAAGTACCAGCCGGCAGTTGGAGCTGGGGAAGGAGGGACAGGACACACATTCTTTTGAGATTCCATTTGAAAGTGAGCCACCAGAACTTCCGACCCAGGGTGTGAACTGGGCGGGGGGAGTTGCTGTGGAGTCTGCTTGTGCTACCCAGTGCTATCTTAATGGTGTCTGGGACGTCAGGGCCTCTACTGTCTGCGATGCTTGCACTTGTCTTTTTTGCAGTGGCCAGTGCCGTCTCTTCTGCATGTCTGCCCAGTTTTCCCATTTATCCAAACTTCTTAAACGTGATGTGCCAGGGCGGCACAGGGCACCCACAGTGGGGCAGCAGATGGCTAATGTCTCCTGACCATCACACCACAAGGGCTCCTCCTATCAGTCAACCATAGGGGCCTTCATGACCCTGACTTCTCCATATTACTGAGCTCTACATGTTTTATTGTATTTTTTACTTTCTCTCCTAAACAGATTTTTACATTTTGGGGGATGTGTGCCATGTGCTGCCAGGTCAACTGAGTATGCTACACTGGTCAGCTTTAGCATTTTTTGTATGGGCCTCATGGGGAATAGGGTGCCAAAACCTGACTGCACATCTGCCCAGTCATCATACAAGATACACTTTGTCCTCAAACCAAGGGATAGAGCCTCAGGATCTGAAGTTTTCCACATCTCCCTCACTACCTGGAGTGGTAGAATCCACCCAGTCCCCATCCACAGGCTGATGATGCCTAGGAATTTTCTTTGTTCAGGTGTGAAGGATTCCATAATGTTGTTGTGTATGCCCCATTAGAAAGATCTACAATTGAAGCTTGATTTCCTACCACAAAGATGCTGTGTTTCCATAGAGACCGTCCAAGAGTAAATTCTCTATGGGCTGCTGAGAAAGTCAGCTGCTACTATGACCCACAAGCAACCACGAATGCATCAACGTTGTCTGAGCCCTGCGTTATCCACACGATAGGAGAAAAAGGCGAAAGAAGGTCAGGCTTTGGGGGTATTTGGCTCCTTAAGGGCGGGGCAGCAGGAGGTCAAAGGGCAGAAGGCAGTATTAAAAAGGAAGAAGGAGCCAGGCAGGGTAGCGGGTTCACCTGTGGTCCAGTTTAACGCAAGCCTCAGCTACACGGTGAGTTTGAGGCCAGCAAGTTTAATGAGAGAGCATGGTAGGAAAGAGTTAATGAGGAAAGATTTGCCTAGGGATAACAGAAGGAGGACCTAGGTCTGAAAAGTTTTACTGATGAGTGAGTGAGGGTGCAATGAAGACTGGGTTTTAAATAACACCTGTTTCTTCAGCCAGTTGTCTTTGATTTCTCAACCGCTCCACAGGTCTGATTTTCTTAATAAGTAAGTTATATTCTAAAGTCAACTTCTCAACACCCAAGTTAGACTATGAACGCGATAACATGGTATCGAGTTATTGATAAAGCTATTGTTAAAGTTATTCTTTAAGCCAAGCAATCTGACATTGGTAACGAGACTGGTGGTTGTGGTTTGGACTAGAGTTTGCTGTGATGTTATTAGAGGGTGGGAATGGGCGAGAGCAACGGTCATGGACCCTGTCACCAGATGCTGCTCGGGAGCATCCGTGGACAAGTCATGCTGAGGACAAAATAAGATCAAAGAACTCACCACAGCCATTAGGTGTGTCATGGAGGCTCCCAAGTAGGCAGTGAACAGGGCTACAAAGACAGAAAAGAACACTGTTGGGTAGACATATTTTCATCAGCATCCTAGACTGTGTGTACACTTCTGTCTTCTACTAGCCAGCCCAGCACCCCAGGTCCCTGGGTACAAATGTAAATTTAGACTCAGAAGCTATACGTTCAGGTCCCGGCCCATCTCTGCAGAACTCCTTGGTCTCATTCCTATGCTCTGCCTCCTTGGCTGTAACAGGACCAGCTCCTCTTTCACAGGGCTGGGTGAGCATGAAGAAAACAACACACATACACAACAAGAGCAGTCTTGCGGCATGATTTGTGTTTTTCACTGTGGTAGCAATACTTTAGGGAAAGTCTTGCCATGGCAAATTACCTGCCATGTTATTTTATATAAACGAGACTGAATTTAGATGAGACAGCCTGGGTTCCCTACAGTCTTACTGCATCGAGCACCCTCACGTTAAAGGTTTGAATTTCATAGCTACGGAAATTATGGAATCTGAAGATAAGAGGAAACAGCTCAGAGCATGGCAAAAGCACAGTGCACCCCTGAGACCACCTTCGTGTAACGCCTTTCCGTACACCGAAGCTGGGCATACAGGGTAACTAATAAGCTTCTGAAATTTTTATTTACTTTGAGCAAAAACAAAGGCAAACACACACACAAACAAATAAAACCCCACTGCAAATGGCGTGTTTTGATCACATGGGTGACTTTTACTTGTAAAGCAACAGGAGCAAAGGCTCAACCAAGTAACCGTCGATTTCTCTGTCTCAGCTAAGGACAAGGCAAGGGGTCTGGAATGTCCTCAGGTTTTCTAGAACTGAAGAATGACTTTCCTATATTGTCCACACAGTCTTTTGGGGCCACTGATAGACAGTCACCAAATCAGTCACTCAATCTATCAATGCCTACCAATCACACGAGCTATCATGGGAGCATGGCCAAAATGAGAGGGAACTCCGATCATCATTTACTTGTCTTTTTATTGACCCTTTATCCTCAGCACCATGTTGCTTAAGTAGTGCAATGAATCCTTCCATGTCTTAGTTTTTCACACTAATGAGGGCTAGTTTGGAAACAGTTCTGCTGTCAGATTCCAGCTTTTCCTTGTATTTGCTGTACAATGAACTCAGGATTTTTTTCTCCCAACTATCCAGAACTCGTAAAGGTCTGCTCTAGCGAGGCAGACAATGAAATCTCAAATGAAATTTTATATCCACCCAGAGTGACTGTGAACTCTTCCCTCTAAACGGGTGCTAGGGTACCACTCTGAGAAGAAGGATGCTCATGGCTTGGTGGGAGGATTTACCTCTTTGCTTTCATCAATTTCATTCATTTTCAAGATCTAACTGATCATTCAGCTTCTATTCCTGGGTGCTCTGCTAAGCTCAAGCTGTGCTCTGACCTGCTCTGTTGCCTACTGCCTCTGCATTTCCTCCAGGCACTCCAGATGTTATTATCCCCTTCAGAGGCCCAAATGCTTCTAAGGCATGCTTCGGGCACTCGAGTTTTGTCCTGTTATTTGCTTTGGAATAATCTCTAAGTCTGAGTTGCTCTTTTCTCCACAGTTAGGGTCAGACTAACGAATGGCAGGCTGCCCATCCCTGAAGACTTTCAGTGCAGAGCTGGGCCTGGCTTACCCCATAGAAGCTTCTGCACAGTGCCCATCTATGTGGAGGTAATCCCTGATTGCATTAGAAAAGGCCCTTAAAGATCAGTGAGAGCCTGGATTTCAGGGGCGATGTCCCTCTCTGTGGACTGTCATGGGTGAGTCCTACTATAGTAACCCAGCTATTGATAAGTTGTACAAAATAGACTTATAGCTTCTATAGAAGACATAACAAACAAAGCTATTCCTCGGCCACCCACTCCCTGATCTCCAGGTAAGGAAAGCCGCCCTGTCGGGAGCCGTTACAGGTTCCCACATCCTCCCGGTCAAGAGGCATGTGGGACAAAGAAAAGCCAGTTTTTGTAATCAGTGTCTGCTGTTTATTTACCTTGGCAGACAAGATGGACTTGTGTTTGGCCGTGACAGGGCAACGTGGGCAAGCTGAAACTTGCTGTGGCATTTTACACAAAAGGCTTGCTTTGCAAGAGGGGCTGGAAGTCGCCCCGAGAGTTCATGTGTGGACATTAGAAAGTCTGCTGGGATGCAGTTGACAGTCCCATCCTGTCAGCCTCAGAAGGAACCGACAGGGCTCTCTGGGGATAAACTCCACATCGGTGGACATTAGAATTGCCATTCCTTTTGAACCATCAAATTTGATTTCAAAAACATATACAGAGGTATTAATATAATGCACATTTGGGCATTTAAACCAGAAGCATTCATTGGAGCAGTGTCTGAAACAGCTCAAACTGGAGGCCATGTAACAGCTCCCAGCACAACAGTCTTGTCCTACCTAAAGCATCCACATTACCCCAGCCAGCAAAGGCCCTACATCCCAAGAGGAGCTATGATCTCCTGACGGCTCATCTGCAATAGGAGAAAGGCCCTAGCTTCCAATGCCCATGGAGAGCTGTCAGTTAAACAGCTGGACACCCAAGGAGAGCAAATGCCAGGAAAGGCAGACGCAAATGAAGGAGATGCTACAGCTGTTGCTTAATCAAAGCCTGGAGCAAAGAATTCGATGGAGTAAGTGTAATGAATAGGGCCAGAAGTTGGTTCAGTTGCCTGACTAAACTGGAGGTTCTTGTGAAGGGTTGATAAAGAGAAAATAATGAGAAAACAGTCCACAGCAATGGAAAAGCTCACACAACTAACCCACAAGGACAGGGATATTTGGAGAGAATATTTGAAAAATTAGCAGCAGACAAAAATCCCAGAATTTAAGAAAGACAGGAGAGTTCACACTGAAGGGATTTGAATGGCTAATAGTAGAGAGGGTGGGAAATCCTGCTCACATCTAGACAGGCAACCAAAAGATAATTAATATGCAAAGATAAATTTTCAAACGTTCAGACCTTTACCAAGAATTAGGGCCTCCTAGTGGAGGGTGAGGCAAGCCAAGATATTGTTCATATTTGGAGAGAAGATAAAGGTATGGATGAAGTTAAGACACTGAGAGGGGATAGTAGACAAAGTTAATTCTTAATAAGTTAATGCAAAACCACCAGAAAAAAAATGTTTTGCATACCCTTAAACAGCGTGAACAAGTGCAGGATAGCGCTTACGTTTCATGTGATTTATGCACATACTATTTAATCCTAGACTAATTCTACCGAGCACCGCAACCTCTCTTTTTAAATGGGGAAACCTAGGCCCAGAAGTGTTATGAACTCTACTAGAATTAAGTTCTAGGTAACAAGGCCAGGTTGGTTTTTTGTTTTGGGATTTTTTTTTTTAAGTCAGGGTCTTACTGTGTATCTCCTACCTCACTTCACCTTCCAAAATTATATCCAAGGCAAAGTTAAGTGTGGCTGGCAGGAACTTGCTCTCTACTGAGCCCACATCCTGATCCCCTGAATCTAAGATTATGAAAAGGGACTTACAACCTTGGTTAGGTTAAAGACTTTGAATGGGAAGATTATCAAGGGCAGGGTGAGTAGACCAGGGTCATCCCAAGGAGCTGCGTGGAAGGACATTACAATACTGCCTGATGGAGGAGGATGGAGCAATTTCCCTTTTTACCTTACATCTCTTTGCACTTTGTACTATTTTATTGTACCATTACTACAATAAAAAATAATGAGAAGATTCCCCTTTGGGGGAAGTATTTACAAAGGTCAATCCTTTTCATTAGCCTGCCAAGACCAAATCCACTTTTCTTATATTTTTGGTTGTGAGCCTAGCCCTTAAGGGCCAAACTATCCCTCCAACCCCCAAATCCACTTTTCATGTGGTCAAATGCTTTCTGAGTGACTCAGGCTGTTGCCAGGCCACCGACACCATCTTTCCCACAAAAGAACTCACAGAAAAGCCACCTTCTCCAGGCAGTACTCCCTGATAACTCTGATTGACTATAGATTTCTTCTTATTCTGGTTTAAACCTTGAGAGCCTCCCTCAGGGTCTCTCCCCACCTCCAACCAAACTCTCCAGGTTCCTACTTCTACTGCAGTGGTTTTTGCTCAGGAATTACAGAGACATCAAAGCTTCTGACCCTTTGTCTTTCTAGTATCCATCCAGGCTACATCATGCATATCTAAGTACGTTTAATGCATCTGCTGCTACTGCACACGTAGAAACACGAAGTATGCACCCCCAATAAAGGCGTGAAAGCAATCTCAGAACAGAGCTGGGGGCCTGGAGGATGAGAGATGCTGTCCCAGCTAAGCTACAGACTCTGTCCCATAGCCCTTCCTGCTTTGCCTTGAACTTGAGAACAAATAAAGAGTAGAGGAACAAATATTGACAGAGCTCAGCTGAGTCACCACAAACAAAGTGACAAGATGACATCTAAACAGCACACGGCAGCTTGAGATCTGTTAGCCTTTCCACAGCATAAACCCAAACTGAGTAGAGCCTGCAAACCCTCGGTCTCCGCTCACCTCCTCCACTCCAGACCCTGCCTAGCTCATGCTCTACCATTTAGCAACCGGATGGATAGCTGAGGTTGAACAGTCTGGTGATAGAATGGCTTTAGACATACATTACATCGAGTTAGAACCAATTTCTCTACAACCTAGGACCCCTTCACCTTTTTGTCCCCTAGGCTGTCACTCTTCCACTCTGGGACTACTTTTAATGTTTTTACTTGTACTGAACTAAGGATGACACAGGCTATGGGTGAATGTCTGTCTCTCATCATCAGCTTGAGGAAGGCACCAGCCTTCCAAGTCCAAAGCTCTTGAGTCTCCCTTACTTTAAGGAGCTGACACAGGGTCTGAACACCACAGCCAAGAAGCAGCCCAGGGTATTGGGAACAACTGTGGGGCACACTGGCAGAGATGGCGTCTAGGTTTGGATTTAATCCTCTGGGACTAAATGTGCTTTAACACACCCTGACCCAAGTTCAATGGGAAGGATGGATTTGAGGGCGCTGGGCCCTAGTCAGCTCTGAAGGTAGGGTCTACCAGGGATCATGAAGGGCTAACAAGTCAGTTCTTAGCCTGTAATCTCCAGGCCTCTTGTCAGAGGTACAGTTTCTCCCTCTGCCTCTAACTCCATGTCTGAGGCCGATCCAGCAGTCTCTGTATTCACCAACATTCCAGGTGATTCTGGTGCATGCTCAGGTCTGATTAAACCAGCTGATTAAAGGGACCCTCAGAGGATCAATGAGACCCTACCTAGTTCATCAAACAACATAGCTTTATATTTAACTCAAATTATATTTTTAGTTTTGGGGGGTGTTACAACAAGCACGCGCGCGCGTGCGCGCACATACACACACACACACACACACACACACACATACACACACACACACACACACACACTACAGGCCATGGATCTATTCCCTCAAATATATATGAACAGAATGGCTACTAGAACTGCACAGGTTCTTCCTTCACAAGAACCAGTGTAGCAACTACAAAACGACTTTAATTCTCCCAGAGGGGGAACACCACGTGCCCTGCTCACACAGTTAGCTAGAGGGAAATCCCAAACCCCAATCCCAGTTTCAATTTCTCATATGATCCTTTTTAAAATTCCCGAGTATTTGTTTAGCGTTTGCCCATGGTTTTGATCGAGCCCTCATGGACACCCCCCACCTACGCGTACCCACACCACATGTAGGATGCTCACCACAGGCCAGTGCCAGGAGGTGGGTCTGCCAGGTGAGTGCCATAAACATGCCTCCAATTGCAATGCAGGCCAGAGAACTGTTGAAACCCCAGAGCCCGGCGTAGATGTCTTCAAACGGAGCTGCAACACTGAGTCCTGTTAGGCGACAACCAAGAGTGGTCAGAGTTGGAGACAAAGTGCATGTTGACTTTCAGCGAGTTGTGGGGTCCGGGGAGATACCCCAAGAGCGGCCCCCACCCCCAACCCCCTTGCTGCTCAGAGGCCTCGAGAAAGCCCTGTAGTATAAAAGATGCCCGTGACATGCAGGTAACGAAGATGCTTATGCTCACCTGCGATAACACCCAGCAACGACCCAATGGCAGCATGCAGGCACATGAGTGGAGAGGAAAGAAGAATGGCACATAGGAAAATGCCCCCTGTCCATGGGTTGTCACAGCCATATATCTGACCAACTCCCACCGGGAGAGACTTCAGTAACTGCAATAGAAAGTACAAAATGGTGGCCCTCACACAACGGGCAAGAAGACCAAGGACAACGCAATCTGATACGATGAGATTTTTGCAGTTAGCATATTTTATCCTTCAAGATCGATGCCATTATTATATTAATACAGGAAAATAATCTCATCTGTTCTTTGGCGCTCTCTCTTGAAAGGTACACTGGTCCTACTCAGGCGTGTGCCGACCATAGCTCTTCCAAACCTCGTGGGAGGCTGCCAGTCTGGTTCCGATGACCTGCTTTACCTTCCCCAGTGTGGCAGGGACACAGGTCATGGTTCAGCTGATTCTTGGGCCCATCAGTACTGGCAGAGAGTCAATGCTGTAGAAACACTATTACAATTGAGCTGGCTGCCCAAACTAAAAGGCCAGTGAACTGAATAAGATTAGCTCATCCATAATTGAGAAGCAATTACAGCCAGCTTGATGAATCAGGACCACATTTATCCTTCTGATACAGTGTGGAACCACTTAGTAAAAATATCTTCGACTTATTTTAGTTATTAACACCTGTCAGATCTCAAGACACAAAGACACAAGCTTTACAATTCTGTTTTCTGACAGAGTGTTTATAGAGTAGCAATTTTCAAGATGGCACAGGATTTGGCTCAAATGAGTAGTATTTCCGTATAATGAAACTTTTGGTTGGGCCAGGAAAACATAATCACACATGGCTTCTCCTTTTGAGCAAAACATTTCCTGAAGGATGATGACCTCTCCACTTATTCAAGTATCTTTTGGCAAGGACCTAGAAGCAATGACTCTGCCTGGCACGGGAAGCCCCACCTTGAGCTTCCAAACATTGCCTTGGCCTTTGTTCGTTGCACTGGATCACACTGAGATTCAGTCTCCCTTAAGGTAGTCTCTAAACCCTTTCTGTACCCAGGCTTGTGTGTGCAGTTGTCTCCCATCTTTCTAGACTGGGAACTTCACACAGGTAAAGATTCATTAGAGTTTTGTCTCTGAACTCGGTACTATACCCTAGGTATCTCTTGAGTATTCAGGGGTGGGAAATTTGGGTGAGCTATAAACAAGTTCTGAATGGGAAGAGGTCAACAGGCCTCCAGAACCTTCAAGTTGGTGGTCCCTGCATGAGCTATCCAGTCTAGCACGTACTAGCCACACCTAGTTACTGAGTATCTGAGCCGAGGCTGGTGAAGTTGAGAAACTGAGTTGTGAATTCACTTACATCTAAATTTAAATAACCACATCAGGCTAATGGCTGTTATATGAGACAATGAAGCGGAGAGAGTAATACAATTTTACAATGTTACTTTTTATCAGTAGTTGCTTTTCATTTTGGCTTAGTTCCAATGCTCCTGTTTGCTTACTGCGTCAAAGATAGAGGAAAGGCTATGCAAATGTCTCCAATGTTTTCCTCACTGAGCAAAAGGGTACATTGAATAAGACAGTTGCAGAGCCAGTCTTTCCCACATTAAAACAAAAAACAAAACCAGTAAGGCCTCTTGCTTTCTTTGATTTCAAGTATCTTCTTAGTCTCAGAAATTAAGAAACATTGAGCAAGGTCCTGAGACACAGCTCAGTGGTAGAGTAATTGCCTGGCATGTAGGAGGCTCTATTGCAGTCTGTATCCGCCCCCCCCCCCCCAACACACAAAAACTGCAAATTTCCTGTAGAAACACCGGCGGCAGAGCTGGAATCCAATTTGGGACAAGCAGGTTTTTGAAAGCACGTGCCTGTCTGTAAGGAGGGGCACCATGTCCACACCCCATGACTCAGCGGATCTCAAGCTCTGCCCACCAGCACAGTTTGGAAGAGCTTGTTGATACCAGTTCCCAGGTCTCACTATACCTCGAGAACCCTTTGTGTTCTGTAAGAAGGCAGAACAGCCAGGTTCTACAGAACCCCAAAGTATCACAGTTCTGACTGGGGGTGCAGACACGAACTCTCTACCCAAGTGAGACACCTGTGTGAGAGACCTGCCTTGTCTCAGCCACTCAGACAAGGGCTAAGCCTCCCACAGTATTTGATCTCCAATGAACGGTCTCCGGGAACTGTCATTGCAGGGTTTGGGGGAGGGGGACGTTGATATTTTACCTCCAGGGCGTTGAGCTCAGACCATGTGATGTTGGGCACGGAGGTGACAGGTGTGAAGAGTTTACTTGGAAAGAACATATTATAATGTCCTGTGGCTGCAACATACATGGACAGTGCCATGTTGAAAGGGAGAGTGAAGACAGGCAGGTCCCATTTGCTGAGCACGGAGTTCAATGCACTTGAGAAAACCGGGCTAAAGGAATGTATCAGAGGGACACGAATCAGTGACAAGCAGCCAGGCTGAGCCCCCGGCCTCTCCATGGGGGGGGTCTGTTGCAGTAGCTAACCATCTGACAAACCTTCCTCGGTGGGTAGGGGTGGGGTGTGCGTGGAGGGGGAGGGAGGTGACATGGGGTCAATCCCATGGCAAAAGCAACAACTTTAAAACACCACAAAATGAACTCTTGGTTAACTTTTGGGGGGAAAAATACCCCGAGGTAGTTCAGAGTGAGTTCTAATCAATGTTTTAAAAACAAGTTTGGAGCTCTTGAAAAGTGAAACCTACAATCCTGGGATCCTTACTCCACACCAGAGTCACCACCGCCCTGAATATGGAGGAAACACTCTGCATGTCTTCTATATGGGCGTCTGTTTTGAAGAAAAGAGAAGACCAAGGATTTGGGTGGTCGGGTCAGTAGAAAGGTCTTACAGGAGCAGGCAGAATGCCTTTCCTTGAGCAACACAGTTGCTTTCTCGTTTCATGGTATGCAAACTTAGGCTGGTCTTGAATGGTGTAGATCAGTGGTTCTCATCCTGTATGTAGGTCATGACCCCTGTAGGGGTTGAAGAACCCTTTTATAGGGATCAAATATCAGATATCTTGCATATCAGACATTTATAATATTGGCATTCTGATTCATAAATGGAAAAATCAGTTATGGAATAACAATGGATTAATTTTAAGGTTGAGGGTCACTACAACATGAGGAACTATATTAAGGGTCACAGCATTAGGAAGGCTGGGTTAGATAGTTCCCTGGACCCTTGCATCACTCTCTTGTTAAACCAAAGGAGAAGCATCCTTGGAAGATCAGAACAGATCCACTACTTGGGTGAGAATAGATCACCAGATGGCCACGGTTCCTGACCTTGAGAAAATCCTTCAGAATAGCTCCCAACCTCCTAGGGGAGGCTGTCACTGTGTACAGGGCCCCCCACACACTTATGGGTGCAACGGGCCAAGCCCTCCTGCAGGCAGTGCCCATAGCAGGCTTCTTGGGTTCCGTTTGTGAGCGTATTAGTACTTTATACTTTAGATCTGATATAGAACGATGGGTTTGTTTCTGGAAAAAGGAATTAAGATGATGTCAGCACAGAAGCTAGATTTAAAGATTTAAAAGACGGGGTTGAATTTAGAAAGAAGAAGAAAAGGAGGTGGCCAGCTCATAGGGTGATCACACTGACAGGGTGGATGGGCATTCGGCTATGCTTTAGAATCACCTCGCAGGATCTTAAAACCTCAACATCTAGGCCACAGCACAGAGCAGCTGTGTGTGCTGAGTGTGTACTCGAGGGTGATAATGCCTGGGTGAAGGGGACTTGCAGCTGACTTTGACATAGGAACTGGTTGTGAGAAAACCCATTAAGGTGGTTGCTTTAGTTTCTATAACCAAAGGTATAACCTGTCTCTAATTCTCTTATGTATCTTTTAAATTTGTGGTAAAAGACACATAAAAATTACCATTTATTATTATGTTGTTTTGCCCCCCCCCACCCAAACAGCTTCTCTAGACAGATTAGCCTGGAACTCACTATAACCCAGGCTGACTTTATATTCTGTAGCAATCCTTTCCACTTAACCTCCAGAATGCAGGGATTATAGGCATGAGCCACTGTAGCTGGCACCACTCAACTATTTTCATTTTATTTTGCATTTAATTTGTGTTTGTGTGGGTGGGCGTGCATGTGTGAAGATCAAAGGAAAACTTGGGAGTCAGTTCTCTCCTAACTTGTGGGTTCCTGGGATAACTTCAGGCTGTTATCCTTGGCTACAAGTGTCTTTATCGGGTACGCCAACTTGCTGGCCCCATTTAACTATTTAAGTGTGAAGTTCAATGGCATATTCACAGTGTTATAAACTACCATTGACTCACAGAGTCGATGTCACCTTACACAGGAGTGCTCATCCCTTCAATCCCGGCACAGGCATCTTGAAAACCAGGTACAACTTACCAAGTCATAGACATAGCAGATACAGGAAATAGCAGCCACCAGAAATAGTCGCCCTTGTCTGAGAAGACAGCCATGAGCAACCCCACAAGGGTGGCATTGTAGCCCTGCAGCCCGGCGGCTATCGCTGACCTGTAGGCATGAGGGATAGCACAGATATTGCCTGGGTGGACTTAGTTAGGATCAAACATAAACAATACTCATAAGTTCCAGCTCACATTCACTTTAGAAAACGTAGTCCTACGTGGACATGTGTTTTGAAGCCTTTTATAAATCATGCAGATCTAACTAAAATAGTGCGGTGAAATCTACGTAGATGAAACTCTGAAATGTGTATATGGAACAATGCCCTCCAGGGCATGTCACAAGCCACCCGAAGGATGGCATCTGGTGAAGGAGAGGGGCCTGGGCAAGGCAATCTGCTCTTCGTTCAGCCCTTCCCGAGAAAATTCTTACTTATTATAAATCATCCAGGACTTTGAGTTGAGCATGGCTTTTAACATTTGGAACAGTCTTAAGTCTGATTTCTCAGGGAGGGACATGTGATTCCTGGAAGGCAAGCTCTTTCAGGGTGTCTTTAGACACATCCAGCTTCAACTTAGCAGACATTTTCGTGCTTTTGGGATTCTACTCTGTGGACTCTATGTGTAGATATTCAGGTGACTGCAGATAAAAATGATTGTGTGTACTTGCCCAGGCATCTATTTAATTATGTGAGCACTTAGCTCTTCTTACTGAAGCCTCTCTGTGATGGTGTGATGGTGAAGTATTCAGCCTGTCCCCTCTGCTCTAGAGAATGGGGACTGATGCACCCGCTCTGTGATGGGCGTTTAATGTCACTTTGAAAGACTGTCTTATATGTTACCTTCTGCCCTGGCTGTAATGAAACCTGTGACATAATCAGGAAGTAGAAGCCACAAGTAGACAATGGGAATATTTCTATAGAATAAGCCCCTAGTCTGGCGAGATGAACAGCATCGTGAAGGACAATAGGGACCATTTCCAGCCTGATGCTCAGAGATGCCGACTGTGGGTACCTAGCGGGGAACGTGGTGAGGTTAGGTCAAGTGTAGGGCCCGTGGAGGAGGGGCTGCAGCCAGTACGCTACTGCTTCGGGTGCGAGAGTGTCAGCTTTTATCTACTGTGCACAAAGGCACCAGCACAGCCAGCAGGCTGATGTCATATCTGTTCACTGCAGTGAGGACATCAGAGGTTGGACTCTAGTTTCAAAGTCCTTTGTCTTTCTTCAGTAATGCTCCAGAAATTGGAGCTGTGCATGAGGACAGGGGAGAGCTCTGTAGACTGGACCTCACTCAGCGTTGGTCAATGGACAAGGAATGGCAGCATGTACAAGTCAAGAGATGCCACAGTGCTAGCCCCAGGAAGATTCAGTCACTTAAATGGCATTGCTGTTTTATTTTGGTTTTCTTTTCTTTCTATTTTTTTTTTTTTTTTGTTTTAGAACTAAGAAAAGTAAAAGAAATTTGAGCAGTAACACATGGAAAATATAAAAGTATGACTTCTCTTCTAACTACTATTTACCAAGGAAATGAAGGTGTTTCCTCCCTCCCCAGTACAAAGGATGAAATGCAGGGCCTTGTACATGCTAGATAAGTGCTCTACCACTGAGCTGTGTGTCTAGCCCAGAGTCATGTTTCATTGTAGCCGAAACAAGGGACTAATCCTAGAATATGTGGCTTTTCATGAGCCCAGGAGCTGAGCTGGCTTTTTCACTGCCCGTGAAAGGAGAAAACTGTTAAACTAGTGATGGGCACAAGACATAAAGAAAGTTGTTAAGCCAGTGTCTTTTCAGGAACTCAGGAGAATTTTGCTTCAAGTTGTGATAAATAATTGTATCACTAAAGGAGACTTCAGCAGGCCTTTTCCTGGTGATAGATGAGTTATGGCTACCATACACAGCCAGTAATACTCAGACTGGTTCCCTTATTCAGATGAGAAGGCTAAAAGACTATCGGTGATTCTCTGGCCTCTGTCAAAAGGCAAACAGAAAGTTCTGTGGAATAACCTGATAGCTGCCCAGCTAGTGGCTCAAGAAGAGAGGCAGCTGGCATATGAGGACTTGCCTACCTGTCTTGGCTCAGCAATAGGGCCGTTAGAGTGGAGATCACAGTTCCTATACAGCCACAGAGAGCCCACCAGGGGTTCTGGACCAGAAGTCCCACCAGAATCAGGATTCCACTGATGGGATTGCTGACAAACACCACCTGAGACATGCCACGAAGAATCCAGTCGATGAACTGGAGTACCACAGTTTTGTCTGGAAAGGCAAGATGAACAGAGGTAAGGAAGAGACAAGCTAACCCAAGGTCACTCTGAACAAAGCCACCAGCAGGAGCTGAAACTTTCAGATATTTTTCGAAGCCTCCCTTTGACCCCTTGGTTTGTTTTATAGTCAGTCCACCCTGTCCCTACTGGAATCCAAGCTTCAGAAAGCAGTGAAGTTTCCCATTTGCCGTGCTCAGAGGTACAGACTAAGCCAAAGGAATGAATTATCAGTAGAAGGTAAGTACTGAGATTGTAGGATGAAAAAAAAGTGTAAAAAGGCTTGTAAATTAGAAGATGCAAAATGGGAAACTAGAAAGTGATGGCTGGAGAACAGAGCTAAAGACATGGGTAGAAACACAGGCAAAGGACATTCAAAGCTGCTTCCCCCGTCCTGTAAAGGAATGAATGTTTAGATACCTTTAAGCCAGCTGGCAAATTCTTTCATATCACCAGTGATGTAGCCAAGCACTTTGAAGCCACACCATCTCCCCCGACACGATGAGATCTGGTTTTCACCGCGGTCTACTTTAACCATGGTGGGACTGTCTTCCAGGGCCATCTCTTCCTCCAGCTCCTTGAAAGAAGGACAGAGTTTGTAAACATCCTGGAGGAGAACTCTGTGGGTTGGCTATCTCAGGCTATGTAGTTGCCACAGAAGATGGGTCTGGAGGCATTCACCTAGACCAATGACACGTGTCTGAGAATCGGCTCTTTCCTCCTGGACTGTCACTGAGGGACTCATTATCCAAACCCAAACATCAACCTTTGTACTTGACGAATTTGATGCTATCATGAGAAAGTTCTTGTCTGTACCCCCAGAAGGCTTGAGGTGTGTGTTGAGCCGCCATTTCCTGTACTCGGGGGACTTAGTGGTGTTGAGAAGAAAGAAAACCAGATGATGTCAACATAACGAGTCAAATACTATAGAAAGAGCTAAAATAAGTAACTGTATTTACTGATTAATTTATTCACTTTTTACAAAATAGCAGTTTTAAGCAGGGGTGGTAGCACACACCTGTTGATTAGGAGTTCAAGGCCAGCCTCAGCAACATAATGGTTCAAGCACAGTCTGGGTTGCATGAGATTCTGTCCCAGAAAAAACAAAACACCTACATGTAAAACATCCCAACTACCAATTTTAAGAATTATTTGAAAAAGCAAATAAAAAAATTAAAACAGCCTGTGTGTGTTGACATAGCCTAAGAATCCCCTGGCCCCAGTCTCCAAGAATAAGGTTGCTCGAATGCATCCTTCTCCCGTGCAGTTGCCTCAGATAGTCTGCAGTTCAGAATCTGTCAAATAAATACATAAAAATATAAGGAAGCTATATCACAAAGGTGTAGAAAGGTGGTTCTCAACCTGTGGGTCAAGACCCCTTGGGGGGCGGGGGATGAACTACTCTTTCACAGGGGCCGCCTAAGACCATCAGAGAGCACAGGGATTTACATGACGATTCGTATCAGTAGCAAAATGACAGTTCTGAAGTAGCAATGAAAATAATTTTATGGCTGGGGGCCACCACAACATGAGGAAGTGTGTCAAGGGGTCGCAGCATTAGGAAGGTTGAGAACCACTGGTAGAGAAACTTAGGAAGGTGGAAATGGACAAGGCTGTCAAAAGCCAAAGTTGCGATGTAAAGATTGCATGATGTAAGAATGCACACGGCTTCGTTATCATCGTGATGTCTTTCCAGAATACAAACACGAGGGGCATAATATGTGTTGACCACAGGGCTATCTAATTCTCACACTCAGTACACAACTAGAGAGAACCAACGTCACTGAATTTGGTACCCTGCAGACACAGCGTGAAGGTTTCACGGTGCCAACCACAGATGTGAGAACCACGGATGATATTCTCCCAGAGGTAGACACTAGGAGGGGACAATAACCAAGTCACCCTGGTTGTATGAAAAGGGTAAGGAGGAAGTGACATGGCCCCATCCACCTTAAAAGGCTTCAGTGGAGAACTTGTGGGAGGCTCAGCCATGAAAGACAAGCCCAAGCAGATGCCCAGAGCTGCACCAATGAGCCAGCCCTCTCTCCTCACAGCAAGGCAGGGACACAGTTCCTCTGCCTCATTCTGGCCTTGTCATTGTTCTTTTTACCACATTCAACAGCCAGCTATTAACAGCTAATCAAATTATGTCTTTTTCAAAAATCTGGACTCCAGTTTTTTCCCTTGTGTTAATCCCAGTACAGAAATCAATGCTTTATTACCGATTTATTACTGCACACCAATTTTACTTCTCACTGTAGCTTAAGCTGGCCTTGAACTTGCTATGATCCTCCTGCCTCTGCCACACAAATGCTGGGGTGACAGCTAAGTTCCACCACGCCTGGCTATCTTCCTGTTTTTTAAACAATGGAGCACCATTTGTCATTGTACAAAGTTGGAGCTAGTTCTACAATGCATTCCAGACCGACGCCATTCTGTCTTGGCAACATTTGATCTGACACCAACATTTATGAGTCTTTCAATGAATCTTTGCATTGGGATTTTTTTTTTTTACACTGGAAACTGCTGGAGTCATGGAACATAAACTGGGTCCATGTAACTCTGCTCTATACTAAACATTCAAAAGTGCGTTTAAGTAACCCAGCATTTATGAAAACTTGTCTTTAATTTCATCATCTAAGCAATGGCTATCACTTATTTTACATCTCTCCCTCTTCGAATCTCATAACTGAGAATACTGCATGGTCAACCCTTCCTCAGTGACCAGTGACCCATTGTTAACGTCCTACCAAGCTACAAGGCGCACCAGGCTTCCGTCTCTGCCATGACAAGGGTAACTGAATGCGTCAAGCTCTGATGAACGTGGCCGTTTCCATCCAGCACAGACATCAACTCCAAAAGACACAAGCTCTCAAAACCTCTAGCCTGTGTTTGTTTTAGAGTTTCGAATACCACATCGCCCCAGAGATTAGAAACCCGATAGTATAACTGGCCAGACGTGACTGGGGACCTGAATGGCCTGTGTCCCCTGCAGAACCACCCCCAAGTTAAGACTACACTGTTTTTGTGCAGTTCCACAGCCCACAGCCCATAGCTGTGTCTCCAATGCAATGTGGGGATGCACTAGAGGGCTGTAACCTCATTTCCAACCATTCCACACCTCAGAGAAGGGCCGGTCCTGACTGAGCAGACACTGGCTGCATCTCAGAGGCCCTGGGAGCCTTTATTCCGAACTGCTGACCTTCCTTCCCACAGCTCCTGGGATACCTGACACCTCTTCCAGAACTCTGGCATGACATGAGTTCTGGAACAGGTTTAAGTCAGTAGTTTAAATCCAGCTCACTCTAGAAGACACCCTGCTAGAAAACGTGTCTCCTTTGGGAACTTGGATGCAGTGCCCAGGAGACAAGCATTCTAGCTGATGCTCACACTCCGCTCACACGCTGTGCTTCCACGGGGGAGGAGAGGGCAGTGGAGGAGATCTTGATCTAACGCAACAATAAAGCTCCAGGCTGTGCCTTCCTGGGTTTCCTAAGGCTGTTCAGATGCCCTAGCTCAGTGGTCCAGCTTGCTGAACACCCACACCCCAGCCTGAGCTCAGAAAAGACATCAAGCTGGGTAGGGGCAGGCTGTGGGTTCCCCAAGGAAGAAGCTGCTGGAAAGGAGCCTACCTGTTCTTGCCACCCGAAGCTTCCTGGTGCTGCCTCACCGGCTTTATTTCCAAAAGGGTCTATCCAAAGAGGACTGTGATAGGCGTCATCAGTGCCACCAATCAAAGACTGTCCACTCATCCTTCCTATTTCTCCGTACATGACAAAGGGCAAAGAGATGTGAATCAGTGGGTTGTGTCCTGGCTCTGGGGAGCACAGGCCCTTGTGAGCTTCTGCTAAGGGGAAATAATTCTCTGCGTGGCCCCCGAGGACAGCGGTCCCTGCTCACGGAGGAGCTTGCAATGGGAGGGAGGGAAGAGGGTGCACTGACTGTGGAGGTCAAAGTCATTTTACTTAAGGAGTAGTGGCGAGCGATGCCGAACAGAGCGGGAAGGGGAGGGGGCCTCTGCTCTGCTTTTGACTGGCAGCAGGGTGAGTAGCCCATCTGAGACCGGCGCAGAGAGGGACAGTGGCTTTAGGCTCTGGAGTGTTTGGGCAAGGTGTTATGCTCTGTGTTGGGGACCAGCTCTGTGGCAAGCAACGTCTCAGCCTTGTTCCTTGTGAAACGGGAGGAAAGAGGTTCTGCTTCCTGCAATAAAACACTAGCCACACTTCCCACGGACAGCGCTCATAGTCCATGTCACTCCAAACTACTGATAACTGCCATTTCTCATACATCTGAGTAATAATTACTAAGGATCAACCGCCAGTTTGTTAGCAAGGAACAAGTTTTAGTTAAATTTAAAAGAATGTCAGATTAGAATAATCCCCCCCTTGTCATTCTCCTTCCCTCACACCTCTTTCCTTTCCATAGGTCTTTACCCAGAAGTTCTAGAATATTCTATGTGTGATGTTTGTCTCTTCCTCTTTCATTTATTTTATTTTCACATTCTTCTACTGACTTGGTCTGAAACCTGGAAACTTTACCAAAGAGACCTGAAGAATCCACAGTTGTGGAAAATATTTCTGATATATCTTATGGAAAAAAGTGTGTGTGTGTGTGTGTGTGTGTGTGTGTGTGCATGCGCGTGCACTCATGGTAAGCTACCTGGCCAGCACTAGTGTTTTTGGTGTTTGCAATATGGAGCAATTTTAGTTGGTCTGAGGCAACACCAAGCAGTCCCATGGCAAGGATCTTATACTATGCTAAGAAGTGGGGAAAAGGAAGAAGGAGGAGGAGGAGGAGTAACCAAGAGGGCTGAGAGCAGAAGAAAAGGAAAACACCAGGGTAGGGCGCCCGACTCCTCAGGATGAGCGCCTACAGCTTCCCCTGTTCCCTGCCTTCCTCTGCACACACAGTTAGAAGAACTGGCTCTGAAAAGTCGGCATCGGTACTTTCTTAGAGACAGAAATACACGGAATGTGAACAAGACGGGGTTTAGAGACCTCATGGCTGAAACTTCAGGTTATAGAAAACTGAGGCTCAGTGGTGTCTCTGAAGTCTACCCGGCCATGGCAAGCAGAGCCAGCTTATTTATGCAGGCGTAAGTCCTGTGCTTTCTGCCTTCTGGTTTGGGGTCAGGCAAGGTAGTGTCACCCAGGGTTCTACTTAAGCCAACAAGAGGCAGTATCTACTTCTGCATGGCAGGTTCTGAAGTGGGTAGCAGGCCACAGTAGCCGGAATTTCACAGTCACCTTGAAGTAACTATGGGGCATCAGGTCAAACCCCGAAAAAGAAAGGGCTCTGAGCCCTCTCTGGGATCAATTACTGTCTGTTAAACATATCACCAGCCATTCCCCAAAGCCAGCCCCTCTGGTGCATTCCTGACAAAGCTAGGAGTTAGCCTTCAAGAATGTTCTGGAAGCTGGACATGGTGCACCTGCTGGCAGGAGCTGGAGAGAGTGTTTGAGAGCCCAGATCACTTGTGGAACGACGCAGCGCTTAGTATTTAACCTGAGACAAATGTGAAAGTCTCACTTCAATCCATCTTCCCTGTTTTCTTACACACAATGGAGCTCACTGTATGGAGGCGTGTACTGGTAATCGGTACAATGGGAGAGGCCTGAAAGCCCTCAATTTTCCACGCCTCTAGTATTGCTTCAAATAATACCAAGTGTTTCTGCCATGGCAAAAAGACTTCATGCGCTGACAGTTCTTTGCTGCTTTGTCTAATCTTTAGGTCGTTTCTGATCATAATGGCAGGCACTGCTCAGTCCCCCTTAGAGCTGTAATCAGAAAGAAAGAACCCTGGCAGGCATTTCAGCCTCTCCGCAGACACCACTCCTAGGAGCCTGGAATAGTGCAGGTTCAGAGCTTGCCGCAGGAAGCCACCAAGCCTCTGGCTGCCCTTGTGACTGATGGAGTTCCCGATGGGCACACAAGCACAGTCCTGTTAGCAGGACAGCACATGCACAAGAACCCTAAGCCCAGGACTGGGAAGGGCTGCTCCCAGTACCCCGTTTTCTGGTGAGTCACAAAAAAACACCCTTGCCAATTTTGTTATTTTTTTTTTTCCAAGAGCACAGGCTGATGAAACTTATCGTGTTGTTTAGTCCAGGCTGTTTAGTAAAGAGTGGGCACCCTGTGGGAGCTCTCTCCCACACCAGCCCAGCACAGCTTCCTACCTCCCCAGGAATCATGACAGAGGCATAACTTTTAAGCTCCTGGGAAGAGGATTGTGGCTTTGGGGAATGTCTAGTCTACTTGGACACCAGCTATTCAGGTCCAACCATTAGAGACACAGATCACCATTTAAAAGGGAACAGAGTTGGAAATGGGGAGGCAAGAGGGGAGGACAGAGAGTGAAGCAAGCATGACCAAGGTGCAGTCTATGCATGTACATCAATGTTGCAGTGACTTCCACTAACTTGTAGCATTGCAGTATAATAATAATAATAATAATAATAATAGTCCCAGGAGTTAGACGCATCTAAATTGAAATTCAATCTAAATTTAAACCTGTGTTCTGTCTTTAAAGATTAAAGGGGGCTAAGACAAGCTTCTGGAGTTAACAGAAATGAGTTGGGTACTTACCCTCCGGCTGGCTTCCCGGTGGTGGCAGAAGGCAGTGCCTGATAAAGAGTGGCCAGGCTCTCTTGAAGGGAGAGGTGGCGCAGGAGAGGCACCTCACCCTTTTATACCCAGTCTGCTCTTCAGGTCGGTGAACTAACTCCATTTCTCCTCCCACTCAAGCCACCAAAGCCAGAACAACACCGGGTGGGGGTGGGGTGGGGTGGGGTGGGGGATGGCTGACTTCAGCGTCCTAGGTCTCTGCCCTGCTTTCTCTTCTCTTGACCCGGTGCCAACGGTTCTGTGACGCTCCCACAAGCATCCCAGGGGCTTTACTTCGTGATAACCAAGCTTGAATTCACCTTTTCTCCTCTATGCCGTTTCCTACCCCTACCTTGACATGCTCCTGGAATGATTTGTCACCACAAAGGATCCACATTGCGCCCTTTAAACAGCAAGCCACAGGGTGCAGGCTTGGAGTGAAGTGGCTTCCCTTGTGATGGAAATATGTTGGAGTTAGTTGACACTTCTGCCTTGGTATGAGGACAGAGACAGCAAGGCTCAACGGGACAGGGAGTAGGGACAAGGTGAATACAAGTTATTTCTGGAAACTAGCTACCTGTTGCCTGTGCAAAAACAAACAAGCAAGCAAACAAACAAAACCCACAAAAGCTTCCCTGCTTGTGTCTCTCTTTGGGGTGATAAGCCCAGGATGGACTTCACACAAACACAAATGTCCACAGCAGAATTTAACCCTGAAATGAAAAGTCCCTTTCTTCCCATTCTTCCATTGTTTTGTGGCTTGTTCCACCATGGCAGGAATATAGTAAGGTCCGGGGGGGGGGGGGCACTGCTGTGAACAAAGAATTAGGAAAAAAGCCTTCCTGCTGCAAGAGGGTCTCCCTGCCCACCCGCGGATGTGCCGGTTCTCCTTATCCTCCCTCCGCCCAGGACTCTGGGCTCCACCCGCTGGACGTGTGCCAGACCACTGGGCTCCTTCTCTGCAGGGGGCCTCTCCAGTGCCTTCTGCTGATCCCAGGGGGGAGCTGGTGAGCCCAGGTTCACTATGAGAACTTTGAGATTCAGGCAAACCTCCCTTTACATTTTTCCCTGGTAAAATAAGGAGAAAATGAACTCTTCTGGTCATCCTGCTGCTGGTGTGGGGCCAGCTTTGAGAATGAAAGGAATCTTTTTTTTTCTTCTGGTGTTCATTATGCAAATGGACCACAATTTCCAACAACAACAACAACAACAATAATAATAATAATGATAAATGATAGTGATAAAAATGGTAAGGATGACCTAAAAAGGGTTGAGTGTTTCCTTTAGCTGCCAGCATTGTGCTAAACACCTGGCAGGCATGAGACATTTAATCACCTCACATTCCCTGCATGGAATGCTGGGCTGGTAAAGCAATTGCCTTCCATCCATCAGGCCCTAAGACCTGGTACTGCAAAAATCACCCCCCCCCAAAAAAAAATAAACCCCAACCCAAACAACCCTGAAATCCCAACAAAATAACAGAAAACTAAGCAAAAACCCTCTGTGGTATCATCATTACTGTTTTGCAAGTGAGGAACCCAAGACTCAGAGAGCTGAGGTAACTTGTCTGAAGTCTGGACTGTCAGAGTTCTAGCACTGTCCACTATTGCCAACTTCTGCCTGTCGGTCTGCTTAATTCATTCATGAAACCAGTCGTCACGGTTGCCGTGCAGTATGTACTGGAGTTGCATCCTCCAGTGCCCCTGAGCCATCTTTCTCAGGCTCTAACCGGGTTGGGGGAGTGGAGGGAGCAAGTGCTTTGGACAGAGGGCCATTTCCCCTGCATTCTCCTTTCCTCCCTGGCCTCTGCTCCAGCCATGGAAAGCCACACCTCAAGTGCAGGTCACAAAATGCAGCCCTGAGTCAGGCAATACAAAGGATATGCGTTTCCAAGGCAACCAAACCTGAGTTTGAATCTTGGTTTTGTCCCTGTGTCACCTAGATGTGTCACCCTTTCAGAACTTCGGACTTCTCGCTGTGAAGTGGGTCCTTTAGGAATTGGGAGAAAGGGTGATGTATGTAAAGCCGCCCCTGGTGCATGGTGGGCCCTATTCTGCCTACCCATCTCTCAGCGCTGGTTGGCTCCCACGATCCCTCCCACGGTTCTCTCTTCCTCCTCTTGTCCTCAGACTGGGTGCAGTTCAGAGAACAACGTCAAAATCTCCCCAAGTTGCCTGGGGTGG